GATGGGAATGATTACTTCTGTTCCAAGGGAAGGAAATTAAAGCTCGAACAGGGACAGTGACTTGCCAAGTGGGATCAACTTAGCCAGGATTGGGTCCTAGAGCAGTCAGTATCTGTTCTATCACAAGTGCCTGTATCTGGCCCCCATTTCCCACCCCAGTGGCTAGTGGCAATAATCACTGGTGACATGCAGGAGTCCTCACACTTGGGAGCCCTGAATCTACACTTGCCTAGAGCCTGAAGTGTTTTAACACAGAGGGCTGGAAGGGGCAGGAGTAAGGACTCTGGGCAGGGCATGGTGCCTGGGCTAGGACATAAATATCAGGGTCAAGGATGTTCCCTCTGGACTAATTGCTCACTCTCAGGCCTCAGTCCCCACCCCCTTTCTGTTCCCTAGAGCATGAACTCTGGGATCTGCTGTCCGGGCCAGGCTGTGAGCTTCCTGCAGCATTGGACAGTGGTGCTGGGCATGGTTGCAGCAGGCAGCGGTGTCAAGGGAAGAACACAGGATTTGGGCAGTACTCTGCATTGCCATATGCTCCTATGTGACACTGGGCAGGTGGCCTTACTCTGAGTATCAGTCTCTTCCTCTGTAAAATGAGAACAGGCACTCACGCATCATTTGAGGAAATATATGTTAGTGTGGCCTTTCAAGAAAGCAATTTGGCAACACAAATCCATAGTGTTAAAAAAGCACTTACTGGACTTCTGGTCGGACAAGATCACATGGACCCATTTCTCCCTGCTCCTCCCTGTTAAGCACAACGATAAACCAAGAGGCAACTCAAGGAGGACTCCAATGGGTAGTAGAGGAAAGTGAACTGGTTTGGATGCCCAGGACTGGAGGAACACTAAAGAGGTAGGGTGTTTTATGTCCCTCCACCCCAGAGAAGAAGGAATCCTGATCTGGCATTTCCTGACCCCAGCCTTACAACAGAAGGCAGGTATGCAGCCTTGGATCGAATGGGAGCCTCTCTGCTAATGTCAGGTGCACCCAACACCACAAGATAGAGAGATGGGGAGCCGCATTAACAATAAGCATGCAGGGGAGGCGCTCTCCTTCACACAAAGAATAATGGGGGTGAGTAGGTGGAACAGGCAGGAGGGACCCCACCATAATAAGCCACTACAGCAGATCTGACATCCCACGCCCCACCAAGAGACCTGTGATGGCCAGCCCTGGAGAAAACCCTTCCCTCTCATGGCAGCATGAGCAGAGGCCAGTGGGAGACCCAGTAACACCAGATAAACCAAGCAGACCAAAATAATACCACAAAGCCTCTGAAAACCAAACTGTGATTAGAACCACAGCCCACAGTTCAGGACCTGTGTATTAAACCTAAACATGGTGAGTGCCTGCTAAAATATAGGATTTAAATGGGACCTAGAGTTTCTGAACATAAGAGACAAAATGACCAGGATACAACTGAAAACACTCATTATACGCAAAAGATCACAACTTGAATGACAAAACAATCAACTGACTCCAACACTGAGATGAATCAGATGTTAGAATTATCTGAAAAAAGTTTGAAAGCAGTCATCATAAAAATGCTTCGACAATCATTACAAATTCCCTTAAAACGAAGGAAAAAAAATAGAATGTCTCATCAATGAAATAGACATTATAAAAAAGAGTCTTCAGTAAGAACTCATGTTTAATTTAATATAGATATGGAGGGTTACATATAGAAATATTTATGGATATATGTATATTATGGATTAGTATACAGGCATATTTTTCTTTGATCTGTTAGCTGAGATGGCCTAAAAGAAAGATACCCAAAGAGCAATGAGCTTACTGAGTGCCCAGATCTTGGTTTCTAATACAATTCTCCAATAAAAGAAACCATACTCTTTGGAAAAATGGCTGATTCTAGGACTGGAGTAGTAAACATACAAGATGACCTTAGAGCGCCTTGTTGTGATAGAAAGTAATAAAGTGCTCAAAAAAACCAACTAAGTAAACAAAAAACTAGGATCTGGCAAAGGACGCTGGGAGGCGGCAGGCAAGTGAGAGTGGAGTGTCCTAGAAGATGGTGGAAATGGTGGAGATAATGGTGGTGGATATAAAGGTGGAGGATGTGGAGGTATAGGTAAGCGGGGGGATGGTGGTAAAGGTGATGGTGGAGGAGTGGATGCTGGGGGAGGAGGTAGTGGAAAATGGCAGGGATGCTGCGGGAGGAGGTGGTGCAGGCAGTTTTGCACGTAGTTAGATGCATTGCATCTTGTGATCACTTGGAAATAGACACTCTATTGTGGGATCCTCCGACCCTCTCTAAGGAGTGTTTGAGGTTCTGTAGCAAGACTACGCTAAGCTTCTTCGTGAATCATCCATTTCCTCGTGTCCACCCCCTCAACTGTGGTACAGACAGGCCCTCACTGCAACCACCTGGCAGCGGCCAGCTGAGTTACTATAACTTGTCCCCTGACCTAACTACTCCTACAGCCAGGGACTCAGGCAGGCAGTCGGGAATTCAGATCTCGGTTCTGCCTTTTACTTGGTGTGTGGCTTGACAGTTAAATCTGTTCAGCGTGCTAAGTCTCAGTGTCTTCCTCCATAAAATGGGCTAACCATGGTACTTTTGGGATGTCAAACTACATGAGGTAAGGTAAGGCATTGCAGAAAGTTGTGCTCAAATAATGACAGCTGCTGTTATCATCAGTGATGGCTAAAGTCCTGGTCCTGGCATTGAGGATCTCAGGTGCTCAATATGGAGGGTAATTGGCCCTTAATGACTTCCAAGTCCAGTCCAGGCAGGGCAAGGGAAGTGCTGGGAGCGTTCTTTTCACACCTTGCTTTCTCACCCCACCTGTACATTGGCTTTTAGCTCTACCTTCTCTTAGTGTCTTTGCTAGAAGAACCTGGAAGCCTTTGCTGAAGTTACAAGTATCCTTTAGAATGATGCCCCCCTGTGGCTGAATAAGGACCTGCTTTGGGAGGAAGGGAGGGAGCGCAGTTACCTAAGCACTTACTGTATGGGGCACTTTAAGCATCATCGCCTTCATCCTTTAAATAGAGAGGGTTCATCTCCATTTTACAGGTGCATCTAACAATCTAAGTTATTTGTTGAGGACCTGCTATGTGTCAGGCACTGTGCCAGGTGCTCAGGGTACAAGAGTGAACACAAAAACCCCTGCCTTGTGGGGCTTATAACCCAGTGGAGGGGACGAAGGAAAACAAACAGTATGTAATGCATCAGATGGAGATAAGAAAATAAAGCAGAACAAAGGGATAGCAAGTGATGGGCAGGGGCCACATCCTCTGGGACTCTTCAGGGACCCATGAGGAAGTCACTGTTGTTGATGTGAGATGATGGAGGCTGGGCCTTGGAGATCGCAGGGGAGGGATGATGAGGACAGGATTTGGAATGCATTTGCAACAGAACCTAGAGAACTTGCTGATGGACTGGACATGAGGTGAGGCACAGGCCACTGAGAGATGTAGTCAATACAGCACAGGAGCTTACTCAGCCTGGGCCCCAAATTGGACACTGGAAGTCAATCATGTGTTTTCTGTTCTGCTTCCCCATCCTGGCCTGAGAAGAGTGGACCTGGAAGAGGTGGCAATGGGAGGCCACAACTGTAGCCCAAGACATGAGCAAAAACCCATTTTAAAGAAGGAAGACCTCCTTTTATTTGGCCCTGGGAGCAAGTCCCGGCAGGTTCCTTCTGAAATGCTAGTGGTTAGGATAGAGTTGCAGGGAACCCACACTTCTGTACCAGGTACTTCCTGGAATGAGCTCAAAGTCAGCTTTAAGGAGTGCCTAGTGGGGATCAGCAAGCTTCATACTGTGGTGGGCACACAAAGGGGTGCTGCTGCTCTAGAGGGCACTTTGGCAATGCCATCTAAAGCCATAGACGTGCTCAGCTCTTGCCTCACATGCCTGCTTCTTCCTGTGGTCATTGCCTGAGAAAGCAACCAGTTATGCCCCAAACTGTACTTCCAGGGTTGTTTAGTATGGTGGATAGTTTACAAGACCAGACAGAAACACCATACATGCCCCATGGTAGATACCAGTTTAAGCTGAACTTGTTAGAAAGGGCATCATCATGACAGTTAGTCTTTTTCAGTGATGAATTTTGGGTATCTTTCCATCAGGAAATGTCTAATGTGTTGCAATATATTCTTAGCCCCGTCCATTTAATGCCAGGAGGTTCCCTTACTTGCCAGCCAATTTTAAGACCAGAAAGAACCACCATCCATGCCCCATGGTAGATACCAGTTTAAGCTGAACTTGTTAGAAAGGGCATCATGACAGTTAGTCTTTTTCAGTGATGAATTTTGGGTATCTTTCCATCAGGAAATGTCTAATGTGTTGCAATATATTCTTAGCCCCGTCCATTTAATGCCAGGAGGTTCCCTTACTTGCCAGCCAATTTTTCAGATGATTCAAAATGCCCCACCAGCAACAAAATGCCTCTAATGAGGACTGCCCTGAATTCAGAAGCCCCAGAACTAGTGGCTGTTGAAAATCCTTCTTAAACCTGTGAGAGCTTTTCTGGGTGGATGGACCTTTCCCTCTGGGCCACCCAGAAAACTAGGACTGAAAATATCCTTACCCAGCCCGAATCTGGACCACTGTAATCCCTGGCTCTATGGATGGCAATGGCTCTGACCTTGGGCCAGATACCCAGCTGGTCTGAACTGTGGTGGTTGCAACAAGATCCCTTCCTAAGTGGGAATCCCAGGAGGGCTTGTATTTTTCTAGATGATGCAAGTTTTGAGTGGTGTTTTTGTGATCTCTTCTGGTATGAACTAATGAACTTAAGCAGAAACCCTGAGGCGGGGTGGGAGGGGGTCGAGTGTGTATGCACATGGCGCACAGTGGTCAAGAGCACAAGCTTTGGAAGCAGACAGACCTTATCACTAAACCAGTTGCGCAACCCGGGCTTTAGGTTTCCCACTAAAATGAGAATGCTGTGAGGAGCTGAAGTACTTACAATGGCTGCTATTACACAACTTCTTCAAAGCAACCCATTAAAAAGTACAAAACTCCATTGTCCTCATTCTGGATTTTAATGGTCAAGGTAACAATAATTTACAGTTTTTCCAAACCTGCATTTAATTTCCACAGTTGCCTCCACCTGCTGGACACACTGTGGCAGATGATGCAGCCCTCGCAGTTTGAGATCGGAATCACCGAGCCATGTCCCCTTCTCGGCATGTGTCTTGGTTGAAACTCAAGCCCTTCCTCAGCTCTGGGTGGAAGTAGTGTTGATTCTTGGCTTGTGGCAGGGTGTGAAGCCGGAGTGATTGGTGACAACTGCTTGGAAAGAGGACTGAGGCACGTTATGATTCAAAACCAGGAGATTCTGAGTCAGTGTTGATTATAAGTCTATGTTTCACGCAACAGGGAGGCGAAAAGGCTTCCAAGCCCCCAGTGAACCTCCTCTCCCAAACTTGCACAGAAAACAATTATGGGAGAGAAGGTCTTGACCAGGCTGGACTACTGCTGAAGTTGCTTCAAGTCCGAACAGGGCAGGGCAGAGAACAACTGTGAGGCAGAACCTGTACACCAAAGCCAGGCACTGTTACCCTCAAAATTTACTCAGCCAGAGGCCTCTCGCAAACGCTAGCACAGTAAAAGAGCTGGTAGCAAGAGAACCCCACTTCCAACATTTGATTTGCCACGCACATCATTAGTGAATAGCTTAGTGATTTTTTTTGATTGTTTTTCATGAAGATACCCTAACTCTTTAACTCATTTGGTTTGGCACAAGCTGTTTCCCAATGAAAAGATACCCATCTTCCTCCTAGGTACCGATTTCTGTACATGGAATAAAGCAATGACAGAGCAGAAGAGAATCACTAGGCTGAGAGCAGCCTGGATGATGAGGGACGAAAGGGCTGGGGCAGGCGGGTGTAGTTAGAATCTCAACTGGCGAAGGCTTGGGGAGCTCTTAATTTCCCAGCTTTTGAGCGAAGAAACACAGGGAAGTATTTATTTTCATCAGAAGTTGAGTGCATCTAAGTCTGACTTCACACTTCAGGGGACTTTTGCTGCTGCCTGGATATATCTGGGAGAGATTTGTTCCTGAGGGAATGAATGGCTGCAAAGCCTCTTTGTGTAAGTCCCCCCACTTCCTTCTCTATAGAGAGAAATTCTCCACTAATCATTGTGAGGGTGGCAGGTGGACACACTAGTGGATGGGTATTGTGTACCACAAGCGATTTTTATGCAGAGAGCATGGAAGAAAGGCTCTTCCTACACATGTTGGAGATAAATATGATTTTAAAGCAATCGAAGCCTGCTTCAGTGGAAGAGGTTCCGTACAACATGCTGGTGATAGTCCTTCAATTTTTTTGGTTGTTTTTATTTTTTTCTTTAAAGTCCATTGATCGTCACAAAAACTGAGGAAATTTAACTAAGGAGAAAACAAATGTCCAACAGAGTTCTAAGAACCCAGAGCTACGGAGGAGACGTGGCACTGGACTGCTGGGTGTGTGGAAGGGGCGGGAGGGGCAGTCCCCACGGGGCAGCTGGCCGTGGGGGACATAGGAGAAAGGCGAGGCTGCCCAGCAGGGCTGGGTGGTTATGTTAACCGCTGCACGATGACAGCATTGAGCAGGTTGGCTTCCTTAAGGGTCTGGTTCTCATCAGCCAGCTCTTTGTTCGGGAAGGTAGTCATGAGGACAAAGCTGGTGGCAGCCATGGCCGGCCGTGCGTCCACGATGAAGAGTCGGATATCACTGATCCTGGTAGAGCAGAAGTGAATGGAGAGGAGGGTGAGCAATGATGTTCTCTGCTGTCCACAGACTCCCATCTCCCCCGGCCCCGTCCTTCTCCACAGTGGCCAAAGCTCTCCTTTGGAGGCACGTTGGCTCCCTTGCCTAAAATCCGTCATGGTTGCTTTAAGAGAAACACCAAGCTCCTCACTGTGGTCCCAAGGCCTAATTTTATACCACCCTCCTTCCCCTTGTTCTCCTTTCAGTTCTTCACCATGCCATGCTCCCTGCCTACACTTGCGTCCCTCTTCTAGAGGCTCCTCTGCCTGATCCTTTTCCTGTAATCCTAATCAAGCCTCAGTCAGGCCTCAGCTTGAATGCCACCTTCTCAGGGCAGCCTTCCCCTCAAGCTCCTGGTCTTCGTCCTCTATCTTGCTTCCACAGTACTGATCAAGTCTGTCATCAAACAATTCTGAGATATGATTAATGTCTGTCTCCTCCTGTAGATCATGAATTCCACAAGGGAAGAAAATATTGTCTCTTTTGTACATCACTGAAACTATTAGTGAGAAGAATTACTGAGGGTCAGCAACTCTTGAATGCCAGGAATCCCTTCTCTAGACATTGCCTGAGTCCTGAACCTGGTGATCATGAAAATGGAGTCACTGGAAACAGACAGCCTTCTCCCTTAGGGAGCTTAAACAAAAGTTTCTTACTGTCCCAACCCTTAAAATCCCTGCAATCTACAATTTGGCACATCTAAGGGACTGGACATCCATGATGCAATCTGAGACTTTCAGCAAACAGACCCCTCACCCAGCTGGTAAGCACTTCATATGGGCTGTCCACCCTGGGGAGTGAGCAGCAGTCATGCTGAAAAGCTGGAGTAAATAAGTGAAATGAAACTGCGGCAAAGAACTCAGATGAGTGAAATGGGTTAATTCCCTTAAATGCCAAGCACCTAAAATGAAGTACAGTGAACGGTTCCTATCAAATAAGAAATGTTTGAACAAAGCCTCCATGTGCTCTTAAGGCTTGTTTTACAACTTACCCCACATGTGAACTTTGTCATCACTCAAGGACTGTCAAGCCATTTAATGAGCCTCCTACGTGCATTCTAGCTGGCCTATGATTGATGAAATTTAGACACTGCTATTTTAGAAAAAGGAGTTGACAAATCTCTTTAGTGGCAACAACCCTCTCCTGCTAATCACGTCATCAGCCTGTGCCTCAGTTTCCCTATCTTTAAAATGGGGGAAGCACATTTTGCTTTGATCTAGCCCAGATGATACGAGCTAGTAGAGCAGATATTCTAGAATTCTCAAAGGTCAGATCTAGAAAAGACCTTAATATACTAGTGGTTTCAGAGTCCCCTGCTGGGGATGGAGGTGGAAGAAGCCATGGGTGGGATGCTGGCACTGTGTCCTCTCTCCCCTCCTTCAACCACAGCTGTTCAAATTTTGTTCTACACTTTGTGTTTAGCATGAGATTTCCTTTGACCAAAGAGTTTGGGGGCTAAAAAAATCCCTTAGGAATCCAATCCCCTAATTTTACAGTTGAGGAATGAGACTCACAGGAGGGATGTGAGCAGTTACTGGCCACATTTATGGAAGTGCAAACCAGAACCAAAGGCTTTGGATTTGCATACCTTCCCAACCCACTGCCTTCTTTGGGGAAAGCATGGAGTGCCTGCCGATGTCAGGAGGAAGAACAGCTCCCTGCCTCCCACCCATTTGTGGAAGTCTCTGAGACACGCCTAGAATAAGATAGGCCAGACAACACAAGGTACCTGTGGCTGTGGTTAAATTTCTGTACCAGCCTCCCGCCATCGGCAAGCCGTATTTGGATGTTTGTGGTAGGCTGTGACTCGTCGATTGAGATGGAAGAGCTGGCTTTGGCTTCGTTTTCTGCCTGTTGGGCTGGAGAACTGGTATTCAACACCTGGGGGGCAGTGCTGAGGAGAAAGGATTGTGTCAGGAAATGAACAGAAACAAGGTCTCTAACAGGAGGGGAATCCTGTCTCAGATTTTTACTGAGCCTTTGCTGCATCTGGCACTATATTTGGTGCTGCTGATACAAGGAATGACCAAGACAGACTGCCTGCCCTCATGCAACTCCAGGTCCAGCAGAATTCCTCTCAGACTCTGAGTTACTGCCAGCTCCCTCACTTCTAGTAACTTTGGGCAAGATACACAACCCCTTCTCCCTCAGTGTCTTCACCTGAACAAGGGCTTGAAGGGAAGAAAGTAGTATGAATGACAGCCTGGGGTGGGAAGAGACTAAGGCTGGAGGACCCAACAGACCAGGATGAGTTTTAGCCTCAGTGAGAAAGGCTGAGTGAGGGCAGAATGAGGAGGGGCCACTCCAAGTTTACGGTGGAGGCAGGCTTGACACTGCCTGGCAGGGGCTGATGAAATATGAAGGATGAGCCCAGACTCTTTCTCTGTGATGGGATTTTTTTCAGGCCTGCATTCCCTATTGTAACCTCACTCATGTGCATATTCATGTGTCAACTATCAGAAGCAGGGTGGGGGATGGGGGGGGGCGGTGAGATTTCCCAAAGGCCAACTAAGTGCCTGGGACCACAGGGATTAATTATACAACATGAACATGACATGGTGCCTGTTGCAATGTTTAGAGCTCAGTTCTTAGAATCAGATGGACCAGGGTTGAAGTTATGTGGTATTGAGCAAGTTACTTAAATTCTCTTAGTTTCAACAAGGATAATAATGAGGATCTTTAACAAAGGTTAAGGATACTTGCCCTGCTCAGTTTCTCAGTTTTTGTGGAGCTTAAAGTGAAGAATTACATAAAGTACTTAGGGTGGCTGAGAAGCACAAAATACACAAAGAACTCCCAATTCTCCACAACCTTCTGGAGCCTTAGTCTCTTTCCTGTACACCACCATACACCTCACTCTCAGCCTTTCTCTTAGCAGATGCCCTGGCCTAGATCTTCGCAGAGGAGAGGCCATTAGATGAGAACTTGCTTGCTTCTCCACAAAGCCTCTAAGTAGATCAGCTCCTACACTGCTCCCTTCCCTCTAACCTTTAAACCTAAGGTTATTCTTAGCAAATCCAACTGTAAGTGCTTTCCCAAGTATGCTCCCTGGGACCCTTGTCCCTCCAGGAAGGTTTCAGAAATGCCACATATTACATGAGCAGCATCACAGGCATATTAAAGGTCTTGAGCAATCATGCAATTAAGGCAAACTTATGTATCATCACCATGTCCCTTTTTCATGTTACACTTGTTATCATGTGTACATACACACAAATTATCAGATAATTTCATGGAACAGTTTATGAAACATTGCCCCAGAACATATAACTGGGAATGAAGAATTGAAAAGTGAACTTACTCTTTTCTGCAAATGTGAAAAAGACGAGCTTAGAGAATTACAAAGTGGAGCTGAGAAGAGAATGCTGGCCACGCTTACTAGCTACGAGAGGAGCTGCTTCTATGCATCGGCCTCGCACATGTGGGACTCAAATGTGGGCCAGGACACACATAAATACACTGTCACATGCCTCAGGAGATGCCTGGGAATGGTCGCAAGTTAAATGTTACCCCTGCAGTGCCTAAGGTCTACTGTGTTTTGTTCATTAGTTTTATGGGTGTTAGGATGACTCTCCAACTAGGCTGTAGGCAGTCTGTTCCTCAACTGTTTATAACAATTCCAAATACATGATGAGTACTCATGGAAGCTACTAACTGTCAGAAAGGGAACTCTCACATTTTCAGCCAACCTAAAATGAGAAAAAGCTGTTATTCCAAAGTGGCTGACATTATCAGGTCAGGCAAGGGTGGAGGATGAAGATAAAATAGAAATGATATTTAAACTACTTTGCACAGGCACTATCTAGGTTTTCTTTTCATATCCATGGCCTCACTGAATCATCACAATCATCCTTTGAGATGAGTATTATCTCCATTTTAAAGATGAGAAAACAGAAGCACGTTGTAAAGCAGGTTTTAAATTTTTAAAAACTTATGCAATGAATAAGCTCTATATTCTGTGTATTCATACCAGGCAGCCTTACTTTCTAAATCTTTTCTAAAGGTTTACTTTAGGAAAATAATAACGTACATTGAAAATGTCTTCTCAAACTTCTCCCCTGCTCCCAGAGAATCTGGCGTACTGCTTCCTTATGAGCTGTGTGACCCAGCAAGTTACTGAACATCTCGGCTTCTCTACTTCCTTTTCCGTAAGATGAGAATACCATCCTCACCACATCCATAATTTTCAGGGTAGGCCATCCACTAAACTGCAGCCATTATTATTAAGGAGAGTCAGTGTGATGCTGGGGAAACAGCTCAAGGCCCACCATCTGCTCCCAACTCTACCACTAAACTAAGAGGTGTGGCCTTGAGCAAGTCATTCAGCTTCCTAGGTTTTCAATGTCTCCTTGTGTATGTAGCACAAGAAACTGTTCTGCTGTGAGGATCAGATGAGATAATGTATGCAGAAGGCCCAACACAGGACATTTAAGAAGTCCGCCATACAAGGAGATAACCAATGTTTTCGGCTTTCTTCTCAGCACAGGCTCTTGCATAGAGCTGGTGCTCATCATTTGAAGGTTAAGGAAAGCCTGATAGATGGAGTTGGCTGGTTGCTTCTGATTGTTTCACTTACACACCTTAAAAATAAAGTGAGTTGGAAAGACGATAAATACAGTGTACACTTATGAAGCACCCATTACTGAACTGGGCCCTATGCTGAGTACTTTACACATATTAGTTCATATTAGTTCACTTAATCCTTAAAACAGCCTGTGAGGTAGGGATTCATCATCTCCACTTTATAGATGAGGAAACTGAGACACAGTGAGATTAAGCAACTTGCCCAAGAACCTAGTATTGGTTCAAGGTAAAGCCAGGATACAATCTCAGCTGTCTAAATCCAGGTCCTGTGCTCCTAACACCTGCCACATTCTCCTACCAGGTCTTGGAGTCAGACAGACCTAGACCTGATTTCAGGAACATTACTTCATGGTGAAGTTTCCTCATCAATAAAGTTAAATGAAATCTCCCATAGTTGAAATAATAGCTAAAAATAATGTACCATGCCCAGAATGTGGCTACCAAGAACATCCAGGATGCAATGCTGCATGGCAGATAAGAGCAGAGACTGGAGGGAACCCAGATCAGCACTGGTCAGCAGTATGGCCTTGGGCGTGACTTGACCTCATAAGCTTCAGAATCTTTATTTGTATAATGGGAATCAAAACAGATCAAAGGCCATAACACACATGGAATGCTTAGTATAGTACTTAGCTAACAGCAGAAAAACACTGAAAAAGCTGATTATTGTCATTCTTCAGGGTCCACTTATATTCATTAAATTCTAGACCCAAATCACTCAAGAGATGCTACTACCTATCCATGGGCTATAAGTGGAAGGTTACCCGAGAGGCACTCTCAGCCTATGCTGCCCTCAGCGGAGTGGCAAACCTCTAATCATTGTGTAGGGCAGCCAAGTGCATCTGTTCAAGAGAACCAGAATCCGTCTGGTGCTCCTTAAGAACTGCTATCCCCTGAGCCATTCCTCACCAGCAGTGGCTGGGCCATCTGTAGCAGTGAGGGCACTTCGCCCAGGGGCAGGACTGGTCAGATCAGATCAGACATCTATAAAAAGAGGAGTTTCTTTACCATCTCACTGCAAATATCATAATGAGTCACAGGGAAATTGAGTCTCATTCATATCAAGAATCTGAATCACCTGACTGCTCATTTCCTTTGTAGTGGGAATAAAGTGGACACTAAGGTGCTTATTGCCAAAATTATAAGTCCTGAGACTCTGCCATCCCCTTTACAGAAATAAAAACTACAGAATGTACTGTGAACAGCCAAAGCTAATCCTTCCACTGCAATGACACTACCCCACCCAAGTACAGTCTTGGTGTTTGCTACTCAAATTTGAATTCGGTCTTTCCCAAACCTTCAGGTTAGTTCTCATCCAAACAAATTCAACACCTAAAACAACGAAAGTTTAATATAACTGAAATAATTTTTTTTTCAACTGAGAACAATCTATTCATTCACTTTAAAGTATTTTTCCAGATAATCAGAGAAAAAACCCAAGACTAATTTTTGAGGCAAATCTGAAAAAGTTTTCTTGAACTTTTGGCTCCTGAACACGTTAGATGACAAGATGACAATGGAAAACACGGTAAAATTTATGGGATAAACAAAAAATTGTCTACCTAGTTTAGACTAAAAAGATAAAATCCCATCTCATTAGTTGTATAAAACCTTTTTTAAGGTTATTTTTTAAAAAAAATCAAAACTGAAATAAAATGAAAGTGAAACTGGCAATGAATATTTATTTAGCTGATAATCACCACCTGATTTATCAACCTTTGTCTCTACTGGTGGGGTTCATCCTCCACACTAATAAAGTATAAACTCCCGTCTTGCTAAAATAGACTTCCTTAAAAATATTTTCATTTTCTGAGATCTGAATCTTGTACACAAATATAGTTAGGCTTTCCAATAGTAAAATCATTTTTTGTTAGTATCATGAAACCAAACAAACCCAAAGTGCATGGTGTTCTGAGCCCTTTCTTATAATTGGTGGTGGGTAAAAAACTCACAACCTTTTTGGAGGATAACTTGACAATGTCTTAAAAATATGAAGACCTTTGGAGCCAGCAATTTTACTTCTAGCCCAAAAATAAGGGACATACAAAGATTTAATTATTGTTTGTAATACTGTTGGCTACCTAAAATGTTTACCAGCAGAGACAGGTTAAATTATAGCACATACATAGGACAAAAAATTATATTAGCATTAGAAATAACACTGTAGAAATACATATACTGATATGGAATGACAGCCCTATTACACTGATTAGGCAAAAAAGGTGATAAAAGAGCATGTTCATTCACGCGTGCTCACATGTGCACACACACACACACTCTCTACACATATAAAACTGGCAGGATACGTCTTTCCAGATACTAACTGGATGTATCTGGTAGTTAGGTTTAGAAATAGTTTTTATTCTTTATCTGCATTTTCTATTTTTTCTAAAAAGATAAACACATTTTATTTTAATAACAGAAGAAAAAATTATCGGCTGCTCTACACAGGTTACCACAGCTGACAGGGAAGCTACAGATGGATCACCCTGAGAACAGCTGTCCTGGACTAACCCATAGGCCTCAATGTGGTAGATGAAATGATGAGAACAGGGTAGACTTAACTATGTTGATCCTGGTAAATCACAATCTATTGGTCTCTAATGTTCTGAGTTATGACCCTTGTCCCTGATGAGGCATGAATTTCGGCTGACGGGGAGGGAGGAGAGGGCCAGCAAGCAACTCAAACAGCACAGCTGCTGGCAGATTACACTCTGATCCCTACAGGTGAGGATGAGGTGAGCAAGGGCAATGACTAGTTCAAGAGCTTCCAGGTCTAAGTCAGAGAGGGTATCTTGCTGTGCAGGAGGAATGTGGGAAGGAATGCTAATCAGAAGGCATGGGTTCCAGTCCCCATTCTACTACATATCAGTCACATACCCAAGGGTAACCCTTAAAGTCTAAGGGCTTCAGCTTTCTCTTTGTAAAACAAGGACTGCACTATGCTGAATGCCTCTCACGTGCACAATTCCAAAGGTAAGTGTGCCCCTGAGAGGAGGCAGCTGGCCTACGGGTTGGTCAAGGGTCTGGTGAGAGAACTCTGGCTATCAGCAGTAACAGTGACTATGAACCAATCAGATCCTATCAGGGGTCTAAATGCAGGATGGAAGCAGTGGCAGAGGACACAAGGCAGAAAAAGCAACAAAGTGACAAAGTGAGTGTCAAGAAGGACCACAGATGTAGAGGTAAAAGCTACCATAATGGTGGAGCTGTAGTTTGCATGAGGCAACAATGTCCTTGAGCTCTTTTGGATCCTGAACCATGCCACTGCAGGGTTTGCTGGGAGAGTCTTGGATTCCTTATACCCTCTGCATCCCCATTTCAGGTGACCTGAATATATGTGTCTGTTTCAGCCTTCAGTCATCAAGGTCACCCCTGCCCTGAACTCCCCAGATTACTGAGTCAAAGCAGCAATGTGTTACCTTTACCTCACTGTGGAGGCAACGCTCTATGTGCTTCCTGAAACAGTATCAAGGAAGAAAAGACTCTCATTAATCTATTTTATAGCTGGGCAAACTGAGGCTATTCATACAGTCCAGGGTCATATGGACAGAAAGTAAAGAAGACTTAAACTCAGGTCTGTAACATTAAAGCCCATGGTCTCCATATTCTTCCTTCCATAAAAATAAAATGTGAAGTAATTTGTAAAGATTTATATATACAAAGTGAGTGATATACAGGGTGGGTCTGCTGAGCCTGGCAGAGTGACTAACATAGTCTGCTCCTGCCTGTGCTGCTCCTTACCTGCCCAGTTTCTGACCCTCGCCAGTGAAGGCTTTAAAGGCTCCCTTGGGCTTCACGAAGTCCTCGTCCCGATGGTCCTCCATGTCCAAATTCACCTGCCCACCATGAGCTAACCTCCGCAGCTCTGCTGGCACCTCCCTGCACGAGAAAAGGCAATGTTAGGGTCCACATCGAGCAGGATGGGAATGACAGTGATGGGTATGAGAATAAGCCTCTCAGTTCCAACTGTGAAAACTGCTGGCTACCTGTCTACCTCCCCCTTCTCTTGCCTGCTCAAAGTCAAGGCAGAGGCCTGTATCTTACTTAGTCACTTACTTGGCTCTGCCCCAGGCCCACAGGGGGAAAACAGACACATGAAGTTTCTGGAGCAGATCTTTGAATCTGTATCTCAACTTTGCTAAATCTGCTTCAATATTTACTTCTTAAATAATAAACATTCAGATCAGCCTCTTCTTTCCCATCTGCCATCTCACCCACTGACATGGAAGCTGGAGGGCTGTTCTGCTCACCCTCTGCGGATAGACTCCAGAAACTGGGCATTGGATGGGTCTTGGTAGCTTCTAAGTTCGCCATTGTCCAGGCTGAATCCACTCTTCCAGAGTTTCAACACTACATGAACCTGTGACAATAGAAGACAAGCAGTCCATATATTGTCAGGATCTTGGCAAGTGCACTACTGTGAATCTGCAATGTTAGCGGGTTTTTACTATTTTACTGGGTCATTATTAAAACAGAGACAGAAAGACACAAACATGCATGCACGAGGAAATCAACCACCAACCAAATAAATATTAACCTAAAATAAGGTGCTATGGCACAGGTTAAGAGAATGGGCTGTGAATTAAACAGACCTGGGTCTGCGCCTTCATTTTGCCATTCATTAGCTCAGGGACTCTGAGCAGGTGACTCAATTGAAGTTGTGGCTTCCTCGTCTGTAGGGTTGCCAGTGTGGTTGGCATGCAGCTTGTGCTCAACTAAACTACTCATGGACTATTTCCCAGTCATTAAAAATAACACATACAAGCCCCTGTAGTCACAGAAAAAGGGCTAGAAGGCTAAAATCCAACATATTAGCAGCTGTTGCCTCAGGCAGATAGGATTTTTATTCTTGCTTGACTTTATTTTGGAATAAAACCCAAAATGATTAAACGTAAATACATTATAGAAACTAATGGTGACAAGGCTATATGAAAAAGTTTACGGCATATATTAAATCAAAAACTTCAAAATTGTTTACATAGTATCATTACTCTTACTGGAGGGGGGACCCGTATGCACAGGGGAAAAAGGACTGAATAGCAAGGAAAAAATTTTGAAAGTTCCATTTCAGGTCTCTTTGGGTGGTCTGAAGACCAAATTCTTTAGCTGTGCCCATATGACCAGAGAACCCAGGCACACTGTCCTTCTGCCTGAGAGCCATGGTATGCTCAGAAAAGTCCTTCATGTGTCTATCCCCTCTGCCCACTCCTTTTCACAAGCCGCCATGCCCAACCAGATGAGAGCTGCCTTTGATTTTCAGGTAAGCCTAATATCAAAGCAAGAGCACTGTCTCTTCCCTTTAAGAGGTTGCCTGTTCACAATTAACGTGACCAATCCCTTCTGAAAAATGGCAGAACAGGTCACGATCATCCACCCTAAGGCAAGCAGATGCACGCACACTCACATCTTGGCCGGAATGCCGCCTCCTTTCTCCTGCCACGTAGGCAGACTCCTCCTCTGGTGCTGCCCCAAGGCGATAACCACCTCCTGCAAATGGCTATAAAAGACAAATTCATAAACATTGGAGGAGTGGGTCAATGGTGGTAGGGTTACTCAGATACAATGATGTATTGAAAGCTGGTTAACTACTAGATAACACTTTCTCTGGGTATCAAATTCAGAGCTACAGGCCCAGGCAAAGCCATCAAATGGATTAGGGTAAAAACTAGGAGATGGTGGTAGCTGCTTGGCTAAAGGAAACAGTTGCTGCTGGCTCTAGTTAATCATGGCCAGGTAGGAATCTGGGTAGAGGACAACAATGAAAAATTTTTGATTTTCCAAGACAGAAATCCAGATTTTATATCAAACAGGTAGCTATTAATTCAATAAAGACAAAATAAAGCAAAACATTGAGTAAATCAAATTGGATGGGCCACATAAAATGTGTGTAGGACCTGATTCGAACCATGCGCCACAGGTTTGAAAACTCTGTCCCAAATATTGATTTCATGTTAAAGGGTGGAAGAAACTGAGCTGCTCTCTTGTGTATGAGGATAAGTGAGCAAATGAAAAACAAAACAAATTCAGTCACTACTGGGGTGAGAAAGGCCTCCTTCACCCACTCTGGAACCTGAGTCCTGTGGCCAGAGACAATGATCCTCTATGCTCACTCTTGGTTTACTGGTCTCTCCAGGGCTCTTGGTCACTCGCTCCACAGCTACGGCTCCGTGCTCCTTGGCACCTTTAAAGAGATCATCCACCAGCTCGTTGGGACTTTTCTTCCTGGGAGGGCCAACAATCTGCTGTCCACTTCTCTCTGAGCCCCCGGCATAAAACCTGTGCAGAAAATACACATCTAACACCAAATATACTTCAAAAACATGAATAAAGCATGTGCCAGGCTCTGTATTAGGTGCTGGGCACACCGAGGTGAAGGGTACAGCTCCCATCTTTAAGGAACTTATTGTCTAGTTACGGACACGTAAGGAGGCAGGCAGGCATAACGCAGTGTGAGCAGCAACAGAGGTCAGTATAAGGGGTGCTCTGGGAACACTAAGCTAGGGAGGTCAGTCAAAGCTTCCTAAGAAGGGTGTCTTCTGGGCTGAGTCTTGAGGATGAGATTATCAGGTAAAGAAATCAGGGAAGGGCATTCCAGGCATGCACGACAGCACGTCAGCTCAGGAGAGTCCCAACTCGGAATCAGCCTTTGAGAATTACCCATCTGGTGGCCAGCACCTCTTCAGGACATAGCAACTATGGGGTAATGGTAGCGGTGGCATAGTTAGTACAAGCAACAAGGCTCCAGTGTTGGCTTTGTTGAGTGACCCTGGGCAAGCCAGTGCATTGCCTTGTAATCTCACTTTCCTTGTCTCTGAAATGGGAGGGAAGGACCACATGCCCTACCTACCTGCTCCTTAAGTCAGGGCCGTGAGGTTCAAATCAGCAGATGTATGCAAAAGAATAAGCACAGAGTAATGCACACATGTCAGGTGGTGTGATACTGCACCAAGAGCTCACCCAAGCCTCACCTTGCCTTGCTATTTTTATTACATACAGTAGGGGCACTGAGGAGAGGGTACTGCAGAAGGTTAGGGAAGCTCAAATACAAGCCCCAAGATACCCACACTGGGTTTTGCAATAGGCCAAGCTTGACATTAAGTTAGAACTTTTTTTACCTCGGTCTGAAAACCAGTAGTCACATAGCCTGGCTAAGTGCCTCCTCATCACTCCTATTCAGGTAAGTTTGTCTCTGGTGGGGAGAATTGAGAACCTACAGAAATTAGTCTCAGCTTTTTATTTCCTGATATTTCCTATGGAATGCAAGGCAAAAACATAGTCCCTGGCAAAGACACCACCACCAGTGTCATCAGGTCTGAAATGCTGAGGGGCCAAGGAAGTAATCAGGATGTGAAATAAAGAAAGGTCAATGCCTGGAAGATGTGACAGGATGAGAGGAGGAGGTCATTTAGGAGCTGAGCATTCACATACTTGATAACATTGCCTATCACTCAATGAGTGTAAAACTCTGAAATTAACATTTATTCTTAAACCACGAGTATATCTAAGAAGGCTCCGAGGCAGTGTAAAGTGTATATAGATGAAAACAGAATAGAATACATGTAATTTCTCAGCCCACTTCCCAAAGACTGACCACGATGAGGTACTTGTATTTCTGTAATAGTTATTACACAGTGTTCCCTAGGAATGCTTGTCAGACCAGAGGCAGAGCCCATGGAGAAGCAAAATCCATGAAATGAGGCTGTAGCCAGTTCATTCTTGTTCATTCCAGGTAGATGAAGTTCTGTTTAATGGACTGTAAGGTCTTTATTAAAGGAGCTCAAAGCATTGGCTTAACAACTAGGAGCCTGTGATCAAGTGCCTTAAAATTATTCATGACCTTGACTTGCTATTTTCATTTGTAGAAACTATTCTAAGAAAATAATCTTAAATGTAGTCAAAGATTAGTAGACAGAGATGTTCATAGCACTGATATGTACAGTGGTAAAAAATGAAAAAACCTAAATGTCAGACATCCCACATAATGGATTATTAATATAGTCAATGAAAACACTTATGAAGAATTTTAATGACATGGAAAAGTGTTTAAGATTTAGCATTAATCCAACAAAAGCAAGAAACAAAATAATCTGACTTTCATCATGTAAAATACAATATAAAACAAAGTATATTTACACAGAACCAAGGCTTAATGGAAATATGCCAAAAATATTAACTGTAGTTACCAAATGGTAGGTAAATGTTATATTTTTTCATTACACTGTTCTGTATTTTCTACGATGGGCGCTAATTTCGTTATAACATTCTTAAAAGTTAAAAACAAACACTGTGTGTGTATATTGGGGGGATATACATTTAGAAGCCTTTTATTGTTTATTATGTGACATACTGCTTTTTCAATTAAAAAGAAAAAGCTGGAAATACACTAAAAATGTTATTGATACCTGGTTACCTCTGGGATGTGGTATCACAAATGACCATTTTCTTTCCTACCGATTAGTTTCCCTTCCCATAATATTCTTCAAAAAATATCTATTATTTTAACCATTAAAAACTCAGAATACTCCAAAAGAAAAACAACAGTATCAGGGTACAGGGATTACTTCCAAGCTAAAGGGAGAGGGAGACTGTTTCTAATATGTGTTGACTGGCTCACAGTAGTAATGGCTAACAATAACCGAACATGTTTATCCTTCAGCAGTCCCCAATCTTTTTAGCACCAGGGAACAATGCTCCTATGAGAATCTAATGCCTAATGATCTGAGGTGGAGCTTAGGCGGTGATGCTAGCGCTAGGGGGCGGCTGCAAATGCAGATGAAGCTTTGCTAGCTTGCCCGGTTCCTGTGCGGCCCGGTTCCTGACAGGCCATGGACTGGTACCAGTTTGTGGCCTAGGGATTGGGGACCCTTGTTTTAAATGTTTTATACATTACAGTGATTTATACATTATCATTATTATGGACTTTTCTGTAGACTGTGCCCCCCACCCTGAAGACTCACCTTTGGCCTTCCTCCTCCTCCTCCTCCTCATCTTGGTCATGAATGAGGTCTCTGAAGGATGTTACCCGATTATCGCTAGAGACACCAAAAAGAGCAAAATAATCTCAGGGGGAGTTAAAGAAAAGGTAACCCATCATCAGCTGTTAGGGAGTTGAGGACACTGGGGTTAGATTTTTTTGGTGGGGCAGGAAAAGGATCTTTGCAGAAGAGGGTTAACCTAAGTTTATATGCAAAACAATGAGGGTATTTCTTCACAGTCACACAGGACAAGAATAAATTAAAAGGGGGGATGGGATAGGGGTCTGTATTACTTTAAAAACTTACTACCCAATAGCTATTTTCATCATTTAATTTTTAAATACTGAGAGAAGACCTGTGCTTGGCACTGAACTGGACACTAGGTCTACAAGGATGATCAGACACAGTTCTTACCCTTGAGTTACTTACAGGCTAATGGCACTTCAGCCAGGAAACCATCTATTAAATACTGTGCAATAGGGGCTATGATAGAGGGAAGCACATGGAACATACAAACACAGAGCCTCATGTTCTGAGTAGGGATGGGGGAATATCAAGAAAGGTTTTCCAGAAAAATGCAACACTTGACTGGGTGCTGAAGAACTGGTGAACATGAGTCATTTGGGTAAAGGGTGGTGGGGCTGGCAGGGAAAGGGGACCAGCAGAGCAACACAGGAAAGCAGCATGTATATACACAGAGACTAGCAAGAGTAACACAGGAAAGCAGCATGTATATACACAGACACTAGCAAGAGTAACACATTAGAGGAAGGAAAAATTGTCAAGACATAGAAATGAAATGAATATGTGGGCAAGGAGGCCTCTGTCTGCTTCTACTATAGGTTAGTTGAGAAGTATTTACTGGTGTTTAGGAAAAAAAGCAGAGCTGTGTGGGGTACGACGGAGAGGGCACACTAAAAACGGGGTGAGAAAGGTTAACTCCCTCCTTTGGCATTGTCTTACACTGCCACTTTATTCCTAGTTTAGATTTGTCCTCGAAGAATAATCTTAGTTTTTCAAGGATCACAAGACACACATTTTATAAAAGCATTTTCTATATTTTAGAGGAAAATAGTTTCCCTATGATATGGGGAAAGCTTTAGTGAGGCTAGACAGAGAAGGAGGAGTTGTTTACTAGAAAGCAAGCTCTGATCCAGTAATGAAGATTTATTTCAAAGAGACAACTAGGGGTCAGAACAGTCTTTGAGGTTCCACCAACTAGAAATAGGAGGACAAAGACCAATCGATGAGGCAAATACATTCCCTGCTAGAGTTAGCTGAGAGCAACCTCCAAGACATTCCTTGATGCTCTATTTAACATCGTTCAAAAAAATCTATGGGGAAAAAATCCTCTCTCTGTTGTTAAACACCTTCAAATACACATGCGTATACTTGCTTTAGCAAACCACTTGCTCTGGCTATGGGTTTGAGTCTTTCTCCAAAAGTTTTTGTACTTAAGACTATGACAGAATCTAACACAGACTCTAGTGTCCACATATCGAGGTCCGATTCCAACTTACCATCCCACCCTGGGATCTTGGGCATGAAGTTCTCTAAGTCTATATTTTCTCAAAGTGAAAATGGAGACAATCACAGCACCAACCTCATAGGCTTTCTGTGAATAGTCAGGAAACTAATGCATGGTATAGTACATTTCGAGTACTACTCTTAAGCAGTGGTTTTCAAATTGTTGGTGCTTGGACCAGGAGCATCTGCATTACCTGTAAAACTGTGAGAAGTGCAAATCCTCAGGCTCCACCTTAGACCTCCTCAATCAGAAACTCCAGAGGAATGTCTGGCAACCTGCTTTTAAGGAGTCTTCCAAGTAATTTTGATGCATGCTCAAGTTTGAGAACCACTGCTCTGAGAGTTACCTAACCATATGGATGTCTTGGAGACAATACCAATTTCAAAAGATTTTGTCCATGTCCTCCACAAATTGGCAAAATGTCCCAGAAATTTCAATTTTTCAGCATCAAAACTCTATCTCCCAGGCTATCCTGGCATCCTGAAGTGGCACAAAAGTCCTTTGTCAGATCACATTTTCTGCAGTGTGGAAATGCTGAATATGCATTGTTTGTTATGGAAACCACTAGTGACATGTGGCTACTGACCATCTGAAATCTGGCTAAGTGCAAATTACAAACTAAATGTGTATTTTATTTAATTTTAATTAATTTAAACAGCCACATGAGGCTAGTGGCTACCATATTTGGACAGTATAGTTTTAGAGAATCAGACAATGGCAGTCTCTGAAATTCTAAGAAAGTACAGTTTTGTTGGATGAAAGAAAAAAAAAAATGAAGAAACTAACCACTACCTCTTGCTTGACCCTATGCTAGGTACAGGGGTGGGAGGTCTGGACAGGAAGGTAGAAGCAGCTTTGGATTTAGACAGACTTGGGCTGGAATCTGCCATAACAGGAGCTGTGAGTCAGCATCCTGACCTGTGAAATGGTGAGCACCTGACCTACTTCCACAGATATAGAGGTATGAGAGAACACGGGTGAGAATATCTCGCAGAACTAGACAGATGTGGGTGCTCCTGATATACTAGCCCTCTCACTTCCAAGAACTTATGATTTACTTAGGAAGAAAAAAATTAAGTTTAATATCAAGAGTTCAAGACATCACAGGAGAGACAGCAACAAGCAGTACAAGGACATGGGTCAAAGAAATGAATGAATTATAGTCATGACTGGAAGAATAGGACTGTGGTGTGCTGCCTATGGGTTGGGGGAAAACACGCTCAATAAGGAAGGTGAGGATGGAAGTAAACTTGGAAAGCAGCACAGGCTTTGGACAAGCAGAAAGCAAAGGAATGGGCATAGAAATCATCAGGCCCCACAGTCAAGTGAGAGGCTCAATCAAAAGCAGAAGCAAAAATTAGGCATAATTGAGACACCAAAGAAATCAGTCTGGTTGGAATAAAGATTTAAGAAACAAAGAAAAGGGGTTAAGATTAAAATGGTAGGTTCATGGCAAACTCTGGAGGACCCACAACATCCACAAGTACATCACTCTGGCTGAAAGCCGAAGCAGATCTGAATTAAATCCTTGTTTTACTAGCCGTGTGATCTTGGGAAGATGCTGAGCTTCACTGTCTCATCTGTAACATGGGAATAATAACAGTACCCACCCCAAAGGGTTGTAGAGAGGACTAAAGAGATGTATACGTAAAGGCTTAACTCAGTGCCTGGCACTTGGTAAGTGCTCAATAAATGACAGCTATTACTATTGAGGAGTTTAGACTTACTTTTACAGCAATGGCTAACCTTTTTATTCCACAGCCTTTTGAGAATCTGACAAAAGCTATGAATTTCCTTGCCAGAAGACATCATGCACACAAATTTTTGCCTATAGTATCAGGTGTAATTTATGGACCTTCTCACTTCCATTTAGATTCCTCCGAGGGGTAAGGGTCTCCATAATAAGAATACCTCTAGAGTCAAAGGAGGAACTCACTAATTATCATTCCATGGCAGCAGTGATGAAATGAAAGATATCTGAGAAGATGAAATTGGGAGATGGGAAGAACCCAGCAGCAGACTAAGTATCTTGCAACACTCAGGTCAAATAGGGTTAGGGGAGGGGCAGAGTAGCAGGGCGCATACAGAATTCTCTGAGGTGCTAGCACAGGCTTCTCTGAGAATGTAGTCAATGTTTTCCTTCTCAACAAGGATAACAATGCAACGAACTGTGACCTCTCGCTCCCTCAGTACTGAGTCTGAGGCTTAACCAAAGCAATAAAGCAAGGCCTTTAGGCCTCCATGTGTTCAGTCTTTTACTCCCACATAGTCCTACTGTTAAACTCTATTTCCTTGATTCTTTTACTTTTACGTCTATTTTTTAATGCTGTGAAATGAGACAGGGAACACAAAGAATGGAGAAGAAGAGAATGGACGGTAATGATGACAAAATGATAATAGCAGTTAACATTTACTGTGTTCTAAGTGCTTTATAAGTATTAACTCATTTCATCTCCTATGTGGTGGGCACTACTACCCTTCCCATTTGACAAGTGAGGAAAACTGAGGGCCTGAGATGTAAGTAACTTGCCCAAGGTCACAAATCTCCACAGTGGCAGAGCTGGGATTTGAATCTAGGCAGACTCCTCAGCCCATGCTCTATTAAACTACTCCTTTGACAAGACTTTGGGACTACTAGAGAAGAAAGGTGTGAATATGTGACTAACATCAAAGGCTAAGTTTCAATTTCCGCCCCCTGTACATGCCAATACTCCAACAGTAACCTGGGGTGGCTGTGAAAGACTCTACCAGCAGCTGCAAGAAGAGCCCTTACCCTAATAACCATGCCTGAGGCAGTGCCATCACTGACACCCTCATAGGTTAGCACCTGTGAATAATTATAAGATCACTTGCCTACTACCTTTCCTCTGGAAATGGGAGGTAAAGAAGTTACGGAAGCAATGAGTTCTAGGGTTAGTATTCCTTCCAAAAGAGGAAATGTAATTTAAGGTTCAGATGCACTTATAGAGAAACACAATTTACAACTTCACTGGCAAAGAAACACTAAGTATTCTGAGGTTGAATTTAAACTCAAATAAGCTTTTCTGGTGAAAACGTATACCAGAGAATAGAAGCAAATCAGGCTAAAGCAGAGAGGGAAGTTGTAGTTCAGACACTTTTCTAGGAAGAGGCCTTGCCTGTCTTCTGCAAGACCAGCATTTTCTCATTGCAGACCACAGCAGTGATCTGCCATAGGAACCTCAGAGTGGGGGTGGCTGGGACAGGGGATGCAAATAGGATCATAAAAGTTAATACCAGATTACTTAGGATAAGGTCTCTGTAATCAATTTGGGAAAGAATGGGTTACACAGGTTTATTTTCTCTAAAACTTCTTAATAGGGTAATGAACACCTTAAAAAAAAAAAACTTTCTAAAGTCATGTGACCTAATCTTTTACATCTAGAGCACCCCTGAAAGGATGTCCTTTGGTTTCTACTTAAAAACATCCAGAGATGGGAAGGTTACTCCTTACATTTCATAAATAAAAAACCCTCAAACACCTTAAAAGTAGTTTCTGTGGTTTCTCCTATGATTAGACAATAAACCACACTCAGGTATGAGCCTCTACCTGAGTGTTACCCTTATCTCTACAAGAAAGGAATGATCAGGTCAAACTGGGTTGCGGGCGTCGGGGAAGGTAGGCTCCTCATAGAGTTCTTCTGAGGTGCTAGCACAAACTTGGCTTCTGAGAACTCAGTTAGCGTTTTCCTTCTGGATAAGGAACTACTACCCATCAGTCAGTCTAACTTTCTCACTCAAACTCACTGGTCCATATCCCCAGGCTTGAACCCTCTGTCAAGTCAGGAAATAGCTCCTCCTCACTGCTGGAAGTACACCCATGCAGCAATAATTGAAGTAGGCCCTTACCTGGGGGCTGTGCCTCTGGACACTGAACTGGGGGTTGCCTGCGAAATGGTCACAATGTCTTCATCCCCTCCATCCTCATAAAAGCTCGCTAGGGCGATCTGAAACAGAGAGGTAGTAACTTGGGATCCTTAAACAGGCCTTCATCTAACATATCTCCTTTGAACAGCACACAGGAGCAAAGACACAAAGATAAGGCCCACGCTTACAAACAGGTCTGTATCTGAGGCCATAGAAAATTAGACCAAAAGGTAATAGCCCGACTATTAGTTTTCATATTACCTGAAACAAATTCCATCTACTATGGGGAAAAGAAGGCAAGAAGGCAGGCTGGAATGGAGATATTCCTCATTCTCATTTTATTAAAAAAATGTGATCTAGTAAAAGCAGTGTACATTTATTGAGCATTTACGTGCCACGTTGTCTGAGCGAACTGTGCATGTTAACTCATTTCATCCTCAAAAAACCCTATGTAGTTAGTACTGTTATCATCTCAATATATATACAGCTGATAAAGAAATAGAGAAGAAAATTGCCCAAGGTCACAGTCGATGAAGAGCAGAGCCAGGTTCCATCCTAGGCAGTCTGCTCAGGCTCCTACTCTCAGTTCTAATGTGATAGCCAGGAGTCAGGAACTATGAGGCCAGTCCAGACTACTTTTACTTCCTCTCTGAGGCCCAGTTTCCTAATCTGTGCAATGGGGACACCTGTTCCACTAACCTTACACAATGGATGAGAGGTTCCATTATTAGTTATGCATAATTGTGTCTTTGCTGTACATATACACAATGAATATGGGAGTCTTTTGGCCATTTGTGATTGTATGTTTCTCTCATTGACTCAATGGATAGCCATTTATTTTGCACAATCACTTTGCACAAAGAAATAAAGCACTAAGGTTCACAAAGATGAAAAAGACATGGCTCCTGTCCTCAAGGTCACCAGCCTTATAGAAGGCAGTGAGCTCTTGTGGGACATAACTAGCCTACTAGGAATAGTGCACCTTCACAGGATGTAACCAGCCTGCTGGAGGTAGTGTGCCTTTGCAGGACATAACAGGCCCGCTAGGAGAAAGCTGTCATGGGATATGCACTGACTGGGCATTCGAGTCCTGGCCCTGCCAGGTAAGTCATGTCACATGCATGAGCCTCTGTTTCCCTAGCTATAGTGTGGGGGAAACTGCCAATTGTAGTAGTGATCTTCTAGGTCTCTCAGAAGAAGCTGCATTTTGTATTTCTGCCCTGCACAGGGGCTACATTCACACTGTATGTCTGTAGAGGCACGATGCTTTAACTCTTACTTTTGGGAAGCAATTTAAATGGAGCGGAGTAAACAGATCCAGTTCAAATCCCAAACTTACCACTTACTGGCTGTGGGACCTTAGGCCTATCACCTACTCTCTGAGCTTCCAATTCATCTATACAATGGGGCTAGTCATCTTTACCTCAGTGTTGCCAGGATTAAAGGAATAATCATAAGTGCCAAGCACACTGTCGTTAAGAGTTTGGGCTCTGTAATCAGACAGCACTGAGTTCTAATGCTATCTCTTCTATCTGGCAGCTAGTGAGGCCTTGAGCAAATAACGTCCCTAATCCTCGGCTGCAAAATGCAAAGGTTAAATGACTTAAGACGCATAAAGCAGTTAGAACAGCACCTGGCTCATGGCAGGTACTCAATAAACATTAATCATCATCTACCCAAGATGCAGGTTGGTCAAGAACATTTACACAATTCTTTCTTCAATTAATGAGCACCTATTATGTACCAGGCGTTGTTCCAGGCAAGGCAATTCGACAGTTTACAAAAATCCCTGCCTCGTGTAGCTCATCTTAATGTCTTAATTAAAACTTATCACATGCCAGTTAACTAGACGATAAGCTCCACGAGACTCCCATTTTACTGATAAGGTAACTAAGAAAAATAGGCTCCAACCTTGCGCCACCACCCCGGAGGTTGTTTCTCCCAGCAATTAGGTAGGAGGGGGCGTGAGTCAAATCCTGGGCCGTGCTTCTCCCTCCACCTGCGGCCAGGGCTACGGAAATGAAAATGAACGACCACCTCGTTCCCAGAGCTGCTCCACCCGGGGAACTTGTCATTCCCACTCACGCAGCGTACATCCGAGACTCCGCGCGGCCGCCACGCCCCCAGGATCCCCCTCTCCACGCGGGCTGCGGCAGTGCCCAAAGTCTCGCTGGCCCAGAGAACAGGCGAGGTAGAAGAGGAAACTAAGGCAGGCAGAAGAGGTCGGGGCCGGGGCCGTCCCGCGTTTTCCCACGTCCAAGCCGAGCTGGCAACGCGTGGCAAACGGCCACAGGCCCCTGAGGCCTGTGTCAGGCCGCGGCCCGGCGGGATGACTGTGCGCTTCGGACACCACGGGCTTGACTCGCCAGGCGCCCTCGCTCCACAGCCCCCGGCCTGCCCGACGCAGCCCGCCTCGTGGCGCTACCTGCAGGTCCCAGCCGGCCGACTCGAGGAAGAAGCGGGCCCGGTCCTCCTCCGTCCCTGTCACCGCCACGAACTCCCTCAGCGCCTCCTGTCTCTCCGCCGCCATCTTCGCGTCGTGCGCCGCCCAAACCGCTCCGGCCCCCGCCGTACAGCCTCAGCCCCACTGC